TCTATCTATCTATCTATCTATCTATCTATCTATCTATCTATCTATCTTTTATTTACAGAAGAAAACCTAAAAATGCACTTCAGCTTAGAAAACGATTTCAAGTTATTTCTTTCCTGAAATTAAAACAAATGTATTTATGTAGGCTACAAGAAAAATGAAGTCACTATTAGAATCTGGTTATGTTAAAAAAAAATCATAACGAAAAAAATCAAATTAAAAACATCTATATCCGTCTGTTTTTCAAAATGCATGTCTCATCCTATCTGCTGTGAAGAGCCCGGGTGTCTCCAGCTGCGCGCACAGACAGAGGCGCGGACAGGGATGGAGGAGCGCGCGGCTGCATCACGCTTTCCTTCCACCCTGAGCGCACATCGAGCTGATCCATGGCTGGAATAGGAGGACTGTTCCTTGACAAGGTCTCAGAAATGTAAGAACTACGAGCTGGGGGGGGGAAAGATGGTAGGATCTGAAAGAAACCGCCTGCATCAAAGTCTGGGGATGATTTAAGGAGCCTGCGTCTAAACATCACCGGCGGAATGGGAATCCAAATAACTTATTAGGCATGTGAAGGCGCATCATGTGACTGAACACCTTTGAAGCATAGAGTAAGAAATGTGAGTGATCACTTGAGTTTTTTTGGGGTGGTCTGTTTGTGCTCACCGTCGACCTGCCAGCAGAACTGATCTGAACAGCTCGTTTACTTCTTTGGAGGGGCTGTGGCGGACTGCCGCGCCTTTACGCACTCCCTGGAGCTAATCTTTTGGACTGAGAGGCTCGTGTCAGAACTCCAGTTTCACACACCGAGTTGATTCTAATTTCTAAGCTTCCACTCTGTCGGACTTGTGTGAGAACAGATCGTGTCTGTCTGTTGGTGCCACCACCACAGCTCATGAGTCTGCGGCGCACGGAGCATCCAGAGGAGTGACAGCTGATCGAAGCTCCGGATCAACTCGAGAAGTGAAGTTTCGAGGCTGGAATATAAAAATAGATTCGTGCTGGACACACGGGACGAGCTAGATCTCCAAAATGTTCAAAAAGGGTAAGTCTCAAGTTTCAGTTTGGTGTCTGCGGGATTTTTGCGGCGCTGTAACGGATCCACAACCTCTCTCTGTTGCAAACAGATGTTTAAACATGACACACTCATTAAGCTGCTCTGCAGATGTGCTAGATTACAGACGATGCGCCATTCGAGGCGCATCTTTCATTTGCACAGCAGGATCTGAAGGTCTGTGGGAATTAAATATTCATCCGTGTGAGGAAACATGGGGACGACTGTGATATTAATACAGCTGATGCCGCACTGCAGTTTATGAGTTATGCACAGGTCATAATTTCTGCTGGAGCGGGATTAACTGCTGTATTTGGCCGCACATTTAAATGTGATGTGGATACCTGCAGCACGTGAGTTTTCCTCTTTTTGTTTCTCTGCTAGTGAGACCATTAAGAAAAAGAGCTCCCAGAACTTTTAATATCAAAACTCTTACTTGATGGATTTCTGTTTTTTGTTCCTCTATAATTGGTTTTAATTAGCCATAGGAGCTGCATAACTATACCCACTGAAGAAACCTCTGGTGAGAATGAATTACACACCCACTGTGCTATTATTGAGGGGTTGAAATAAAAGTGCAATTAAACTGTTTTTCATTTTACTGTCTCCTTGATACCCCTCAGGGATGTGAAGATCCACCGGTCTCCACTTGCTTGGTTTTATGTGCTCATCACTTTGTCCTGAAACAGATCCAAGCTGCTCTTTAGTTATTTTATGGTATCTATATTGGATAATAGCTGCAAACGGCGTAGTAAAACCACCATAAAGCTATACATATATAGAGATTTATCTATCATAAAACTACTTATTGTGTTTGTGTTTGTTTATTCTCTGTTGGGAGAGGAAAATTGTCTGTATAGAGTGTTTGTTTTTGCTTTGTGCCTTCAGGGGGCAGGGGGGAAACATGCTTTCTCATCAGATTGATTATTGCTGTTCCAATGTTTGAGATAAAACATACCATAGTGATGTCTGCTTAAAGTAATATATCAACTCGGAGGGAAGGTTTAATCTGTAAAACTGCATCTTGACAGCTTCACAAAAAGGCCAACACAAACTCTGGTGATTTTTTTTGTTTGTTTGTTTGTTTGTTTTGTTTGTTTTATCAGAAGTTACACATTTGGATTGTTTTTCATTGAAAGAAGAACATATGACTCACAATGTGGATTCTCTTTAGAGTTGAACAGAAGGCTAAACTTAATGTCTGTTTTGAGTCTATTAATTGCACCAAATAAGATGATTCCCCACAATTTGTTTTTTGGTTTCTGTTGAAGGTTGAATGGAGAACAGACAGGTGGAGTGCTGGCCAAGATTTCATCATTATTTCATTAATTGCATTTATTTTACCACATCATGATATCCATTTATTAATGTTATTATTATTTTTTATCATTTGTCCGATTGATGCACAGACACAACTAAAGCAATAAAAAGGAATTCAGAGTGCAAAATTCACCAGTGTGCCAAAAGCGCTCCGTGTGCCAACCAGGCTGAGTCTACAATAGAGAAGCAGGGATGCGTCAGCTTTGGCAGGAATAGTGCAGAAGTTCTCTGGTGAATTGAATTTGTTGGGTTTTTTTGCATCTAAAATAACACATTTTATAAGGAGCCTGGCTGATGCATCAGGCACTGCATCCACTCTGACATATCCACCATTCACAAACACATCCAAGGATGATATCATGTTGCAGAACTTCCCAAGCCAGCCTGGGCTCTGTTGCATAACAGTTATTTGGGGAGACATAGATATTCTGTTAACTATTTTAAAGACATTATTTTGCCTAATATGATAGTGGCTGTAACAATTTGTTTTCCCCGTGCACACTAAAAACTGCTTGGTTAAAAACAATCATATTCATGAGCCAGGGCTGGGACAGGTTTAAACCAATCCAACGCTGGATAGTTTTAACGTAGCATGATTGGCTCAAATAACCCAGTGTACGACATTAAATTTGTTTACCCAAAACATATGGGTTAAAATAACTTGTTTGTTGAAATAGAGAGTAAGAACAACCCAAAAGCTTTATTGGTTTATTTCAACTGAGGGTGTTTTCAGCCTGTTCCCTCCCTCGCCTGTGGTGGTGCTGCACCAAGAACTACTGAAGGAAACGACACGAAAACTTCTGAAGAAGACACTGAGTGCAACTTACTTCTTCTGGAAATAGAAATAAAAATGAAGTGGCGTCAAATTTGAGTGGTTTTAGGATTTCTGTTTTGTCTGTGGCACATGTGTTGGCACAAACATTTTTCAACAATCAACTCAGCATTGTGGTGGTAGAATTTGCTAGTGGTAGAAACGCGTCTTTGTTTTGGTTGTATTTACCCAGAATGCCCTGCGCTGTAGTCCACTTCCTGCTTTTGGAGCAGTCTCTAGTCCGCTTGCATTTACAATGCATTCAAGCTGCGCTAGAGTTCACTTCAATTGAACCGATAGTCTTTAAGGCGGACCAGAGTTTGCTTTTTGGGTCCACATCAGAGTTTGATTCACACCTCCCCAAATGAATGGGACTTTCTAGGCAAATGGACTAGAATTTGATTAAAGCGGACTAAACAGGGCTGGTGTGAAAACACCGTTAGGCTGGTACTAGATAGCTGTTGCTAACAGATATTAGGATGAACTATCTAACAAACAATTTTGTTATTTTAGGAAAATCAATACTCAGGCAAACTACAGTTAAAACCAAAACCAACTATTAAAAAAGTTTGCAATTGCAATCATCCAGGTTGATAACAACAATAAAGGTTAAATTGTGTCATCTGGACTAGTTCCTTTAAGTGAGAAACATTTCATCTCCCATCCGGAAGACTTTGTCAGTCTGCAGCTTTCCAACCAGATCTGTCCCATAAGTAGCCTTCACTGCTGTGTTTCAAGACAACCTCCTGTTGGGACGTCAGAAGTAGGCTATTAACACATGCAAACAGAGCACACTCATCCAAAATAATCAATCATTATGTACAACATTCAAATGTTTTAGGCCAGATGGCCAACTTGCTACTCACAGAAACAGTCTGAGGACAGGTTGACAGGTTGGCTGGTCACAGACTGATGAAGTCTTCTGGATGGGAGACAAAATGTTTCTCACTCAAAGAAACTGGTCCAGACGACATGATTTAACCTTTTTCGCTGTTCAAAGCCAACCGGGTTCAACATTTCTCACAAGTTGTTTTGTTCAATTTACATCGTAACAAAGGTTGATTTGGTCAACTTCTGTCTTAAAATGGTAGACTGTGAAGAATAACATGGCTAATCCCTGACCTGAACACTGGGTCAAACTTTCTCCACACATTTGGTGCAATATAAAAAAACTGAATTGATGTGAAGTGATCAAATGAAACCGACCTATGACCCTTCAGCCTCAACCCAGAAGTGGAGTTATGAAAATAACTCAGCAGTTTTTAGAGTGTATAATCTATGAACGTGTCCGGATACGTACATCTTTTTCCAAATGATTCTGAATTTGGGTACAAATGTATTTCATTTAGCCATGCAAGCACGCATGTCAACTCCATTTCTGTCTTCACTTCTGTGACTGTCTCTCTTTCTTGATT